GATAGCCTCTCTTATGAGGGTTAGCATCCATTATAAATCAACTGGTCTCAATACCTTGAGTTTCGAGAGAGGTCCATTTATGTATTTTAATCACTTTCTTACAAACACCTGTCAAACGAAAGTTAATTTATGGGCTTAAGTTTGCACAGACAATGTAGTTAGAATCCTGATTTTAATCTTAAAATCTTACCATATAACGATCTTACCTATGGATTTGATTTTGATTTTGTTATTATATCTTTGAACCTTAAAATCCTGACAAATACTATTTATATGGGTTTTTATGATTTGAAGGTTCATGTGGCAAATCAGGCTGGTCGGGTCGTGTTTTTATTTTACGTAAAATCACGATTTTAACTCCGTTGTGCACATGTTGCCCATATCATATGCTTTTTAAGAAAACTATTAATATTGGGGTAGTTAATACCTGAACACGTGACCTTATGAGCAAACCAACTATGATATCATATATGCCATAAATCAACTGGTCCCAACAGCTCGATCGAATTGTTGAAAGAAGCTTGTGTATATATCTTAATCACTTCTTATGTGCATAGAAAGTAATGCAATAGAAGTAATGAAATTCTTAGATATGTCTAGGATCATATTGCACAAGGTCTTCTAATAATAGTTACTCATAACCAATCATCTAATGCTCAAACAAAGACACAATAGAAATTGATGGGTTGATTTCCTTATGTTTAGTGATTTTCGAGATATAACATAAATTAAAGCATACACGCAATTTATAAGAAATCTCATCCTAGATGATCATACATCTCAATCTCAATAATGATAACCATCTATGCATCTTCTATCATGTAACCCTCTCACTTACACTAAGGCGTTCCTAATCGAGCTTTCGCCGCATTAAAAAGGAACTATAACTAGTTAATGCATGATTTCGCTTCATGACATTAAACTAGTCAATCAAAAAATGAAATAAAGATAGCACATTAACTATTAAAGCCTCTATGAATCATAGTAACTGTTTCTAATATTGATGATCTTAGGTATCAAGCATTAAACTCATTACGCTTGGATGGTTGATAATTCCACTTCATACACGCATAAGGCAATGACACCTCACATAAGAGTAGTTTCATGAAAACATAGCATGATATTAGAAGATACTATAATGGCACGTATATAGTAGATGGTATAGGCATCCAATGGTTAGGGCATTAAACAACTAAGGCATTCGAATAACATAAGGATCACATGACTAAAGCATCTAATAATATAGGCATCAAATGATATGGATAAATAATGACCAAAGCATCTCATTAAATCATAGAAAGAATATTCATAAATCATCAATAGAATTCGCATCCTGAACAACGAACTTGAACTAGTGGTACATAAGAGAGACTTATGGTACCACCATCGATGATGAAGGCATCTCTTTAGCTGCCCCCTCCTACTAATGCTATGATGAGGACATCAATACCAAGGCGATCACAAGTCCTACTCTGGTGCGAGAGGGAGATGTTCAAGCTCTTCAAGGTCGAGATTCGATCACTAAAAGTCGAGCCAAGGCATTTAAGAGTCAACTTAAATCTTATTTAGCCAAGAACTTCACAAATATGGAGGTCGAGTTGTTCATGGGTTGCGATTTAGTCTTAATTAGTGTTGAACTAGAATTGGTTGAATCCCTGGACGTGGAGGCAGAGAACCCCGATTGTGGAATGGCGACCAAGGGAGGGGATCTTGTCCAGAACAACCCCCGGGTGTGAAGACCAAAACCCCGACCGAGTGGGAATCAGGAGCTTTAGCGGATCTGTTTTTCCTTTCCTTTTCAGATTAGGTTTCTTGAGACTTAAAAATCGATTTTTTCTTGTTATTTTGGGCCAAAACTTATGTAGCCCATATAAGAGGCCGAACTAATTCTTTTGGAGGTTAATCAACAATTTTGTTCATAACAGAAACCCTAGAAATTGAGTGTTGAAACACCAACTTTTTTTCTTCTTCTTTCTTGATAGTGGAATCGATTCAGCAAGAAGGAACCTGACGTTTTCTACTAGCAAATCATCCTAGCCGAATTGTCATTTGTATACCTAACCCTCTTCCCAATGTGTAGAATATGTTTTGGTTATTCTCCGTTTGTATTCGTTATGCATATATCTTACTTATATAGAGTTCGCTTGCTCCATCAGAAGAACTCTACATTTTTTGACCATCAATTACTAGTCATTGAACAATATAATTTGAGGTTCATCCGCTGCATCTAATCAGATTCCGCCTTCAAATGGCACAAACTGGCCGTCTCATTAAGGAACCAGCGAGAACATGCATGTGAGAGAGCCGGGCCGTTAGATAATTGATTTCACATATGCAACCGTGTTTTGGGATATGATGATGGAAATGGTGGCAAACATAATAGGAAAGTAAATGAATGTTAAAAGAGTTAATGATTTAAAAAAGTTATGGAATCATTAAAAAAAAATTTCTATCTTAAAATTGAAAATAAATATATTAATATTATATTTTCTTAAAAGAGTTAATGATTTAAAAAAGTTATGGAATCATTAAACAAAATTTTCTTCATTTCCGGTGGAGTCTCGTTGGAGAAACCAAGCGGCGAACGAAAGAATAGGGATTTCAGTTTTTTCTTTTCAATTTTATAATTATAATTTAAGTATTTTATTTCATTATAATTTTATAATAATTCAACAAAAATATAAAGAAAAAATATATAGGCTGACGTGTGCATATATTTGTCACGTCAGAGTCAACTAATTGTTGACCGGATGAAAAGTTAACGGTTTGATAATTAAATTGTTTTCGAAAAGGTTTGGCTATTATTTTGTTTAAAATGAAAGGTTTGGATATTAAATTTTATTTACCCTAATTTTTATAAAAATTAACAGTAAAAAATTTATAAAGTAGGAAGGCACGTTTTATAAATTAATATAGTGGAGTGACATATCTGATAAAGATCTGGACGGCTAAATGACACCTTAAAATTGCAGAATTGCCCTGGATTAAAATTGAAAATGACGAAATTGCCTTTTGTATATTTGTTAAACCCTACCCAAATATCTCCACTTTCCAGGCTTCCCCTCGTTGCCGCAACTGTTCGCCGGAGAGGGTCCACCTTGCCGGAGCTTCCTTGCATTTCTAGTCCTCCTCGCATACTCCTTTAATTGCACCTACCTTGCCGGAGTAGAGCAACCCAGTTCACATGCATTTCATCACAGCCGACCAGACAAGTAAAATAATCAAACCCAGGAAACAAGAGCAATCAGCCAACCCACAGGAAAATCAGTCAATCAAAATTCTGGCTAAGATCGTTGTGCTGCTGTTCACCATTTTTGTAGTAGTCCAGTTCGTTTCTTTTATAGAAGGGGAACAAAACAAATACTGCAACAATTAATCTAGGAACATAATAGGAATCATTGGCATGGAACATCATTAACCTAATTCTGAAACCCAGATTTGGTCTAGTGGGGCCATAACAAATCTCAACTTCCATCCACCAGGGGCGCACCAAACCTTGCTTCGACTCAACGGACAACGAGGGCGTTTGTTGGCGAGACGGCACTACGTGACAAGACCAGTGGGGAAGAGGGGCAGGGCGTGCATTTCGGTGGAGGATGGAGTGTATTTATTTTTTATAAATTAATGGTGTAAATATAAATAATAAAGAGGATAAAAACGTAATTAATAGATTAAAATTAGGGCGATAATAGTAAAACTAGGACGATGAATAGCAATCCCCAATAAAATACATAGGGACCTCCTACCATGCTTTGAAGTTACTATAACTTGACATTTTTGACCTGCTATAGCAGGTTTTATAGGTCGCATTACGTAAAACTAATGTTTATTACGTAACAATTACGTAATGCTAGTTAGTCTTACGTAACAGTTAAACTAGAAGCGTTACGGAAGGTTTCCGTACCGCCTTATCATTTTACGTAACGCTAGGTAAATTTTCATTACGTAAAAGCATTGTCTATTACGTAAGACTTCCGTAATGACATTTTACAACGGTTACATAAAATACACACTCATTACGTAAAGATTACGTAACGAATGTTATTTTTTACATAACAGTTAAATTAGAAGCGTTACGTAAGACTTCCGTAATGACTTACCACATTAAGAAACTTGATTAATATTCATTGCGTAAAAGGACCATACATTATGTAAGGCTTCCGTAATGACACTTTACAACTGTTACGTAAAGTATGCATCTATTACGTAAAGGTTACGTAACGATAGTTATTTCTTACGTAACAGTTTAATTAGAAGTGTTCCGTAATAATTTAACAGATTACGTAACGAAAGGTTAATATTCATTACGTAAAATGAGTGTCTATTACATAAGGTTTTTGTAATGACATTTTTCAACTATTACGTAAGATAAACACACATTACGTAACCATTACGTAATGTCTATGGTATTTTACGTAATGCAACTTGTAAAACCTGTTATAACAGGTAAAAACATCAAGTTACAATAACATAAAGGTATTGTAGGAATTTCCAAATACATAATAAATGGTCTTATTATACCTACTCTTAATTGCATTACCAAATTAAGAGTGGAAAATATTATAGACGTCAACTACTGCAGAAAATCTAAAACAACAAATATGGTCCATATTGTAGAAAAAGAGATTAATGTATGAGATTGCTGTAAACGGTAGTCATTCTGGTTCAGATCTTACAGCTCATTCTAGAAAATGTTTTTTAATGGCACTAATTGAGGTATATATACATATTCCTCAATCTTTTGCTTCTATACATCTACCAAATGTTCATAACCGCGAAGTAACTTCATTGCTTACATTGAATCCTGTCATAAAAGTAAAATCAAACAAAATGGTACGAATACAATTAAAAAAAAAAAAAGAGAGAGAGAAAATAATAGAGTGCACAAAATTTAGTCGTGGGACGTACGTGGAAGCCGTCCAGTCCTAGGACGGAAGGAAACATAAATAGCAGCGGTGCCGCTATTTGACAATTTCTGTTACGTTGTTGCCGTTCTACAATACATTACGCCCCACCCACACACCACATAAAAGCCCTCTCCCTCTCTCTGCTACCTCCCATCTCCTTTGTTCATTGATTTAGCTCTCGCCCCAAGCTTTGCGGGAAATCTCAACCCTCTCTGAGGTTGTTTCGGTTCCTGCCACTTGGACATATCTATAATAAGGAGATGGCCTGCTTGATTGCCCGTCGACGGCGGCTGCTCCTGCTTCGGGCCTCTATTTTGGCTGTTTTTCTCGCCGGATTCGCCTTCCCCTCGGTCTCAGCCGTCTCGTACAGAAGGCCGCGCCGCCGCCCCGACCTACACGTCGCTCGACGGTTGGACGAAAACGATTCCACTCCTCAGCAGGTAATTATTTCCCAATATTCCGTATCAAATTATACAAGGAAGCTGATTTGTGGTGGTTGCTTTTGCCATTTCTGGTGTTTGCTTGAATCAATCCTGCACTTAACTTCTAATCTGGGTTAAATCTAAAAACCGATAGGTATTCTCATCTAGTTAATCCAAGGTAACTAATCTTCTAGCTAATTATATAAATATTAATGCTTGGCTAGATTTAGCCAAGTGCCTGTAGTGTTGGGGAGGAATGAATTAGTTCCACCAAAAGCAAGAAATGAGAAATCCAAACATGTACAAGTCTTGTGATAGATTGATGAACTTACGTTGCTACTGGCCGGGTACAAGTACGATGGTTAGGTGTGCAGACAATGAGAAGGGGGACTTTTTTTGTAGCTTTTTAATGCAGCTACCGATGAGGACAAGTCAGTTTAGTTGGCAGGAACTGGGGAGGGAGGGGAAGGGTTCTTTCACGTTTTATGTCTACCCAATCTGTTGCTTCTTTTTCTCATCATGCATGCTCGGTTATTATTAATTTGTTGCTTACTTATCAGGAGAAAGAAATCGTGGAATTAATATATATATATATATATATGGATTATTCCTGGCGGTGGTGCAACGCTCATGCTCTTTCTTTATGACAAAAACATAATATAAGCTTAGCTTTCATGTTATTGAAGTGGAACCGGCTCTATTTGTAATAACCCTGAAATCTTTTTTTTATAAGATATTATCTGTTTTGGATCTAGACTTTTACGAATTTTGTTTTGGAGTGCATATCAAGGTAACTTCTCATAAGGTCATTCACCTTATAGTGCTCCATGCTGAGCAATTTTTAATTTTGAAGCTCTCACAAAAACTCCTCCATTTCACCTCAAAATGCATTTTTTGTCCGTTTCTTACTTATGAACCATGGATCTCTCTCGTACTTTGTCGATGTGGATTCGTCGAAAGTGTTACATTACTGCCTTCTCTATTAGACTAATACATTGATGTAATTCCTATAGTTTAACGGTCTAGATCGATAGTCAACAAGCGCTATTTATAGTTAATGATAATTCCTATAGATTAATTCAACTTATTTTTATTTTGTTCGAAAAGGGTATTATTCACCTTAAGATTATCATTATATGTTATGACTTTTTAATTTTTATGAATGTTTTGTTTCTTCTAGTCACCAACTTCTCCGGATGCAACGTAGCAATTAAAATCATTGAGTCAACAATTCAAGTGTTATTTTTTATTTATTTTTTTATTTAAAAAGTGGTTTGTTTCCTTTCCCCCGCCTCATAGCGGAATAAAAAAAATGTGGAAGAAAACGCCTGGATGGCCACTGTTCGGGCCCTGGACATTATAAAGCCCAATTAAACTGGGCTTAGGATCCACGGCTAAAATTCCAGATTTTTTTTTTTTTTTTATGGGCTAAAATTCCAGATTCCATGTTAACGTCCATAACTCATATGTTCTTTGATTTGAATGGCGATAGGTCCATATATCAATGGTGGGCTCAGATAAAATGAGGATATCCTGGATAACGGACGACCCAACTCCGGCGACTGTGGATTACGGCACTGCTTCCGGTAATTACGCCAACTCCTCCACCGGAACCACCTCTTCCTACCGTTACATGCTCTACAACTCCGGCCAAATTCACGACGTCGTCATCGGTCCGCTCCAGCCCAACACGGTTTATTACTACCGCTGCGGCGGAAACGCCGGCCGCCAGTTCAACTTCAAGACAGCTCCACCTACTTTCCCGATCAAATTCGCCATTGTTGGTAACGCACTATACACATACACATACAATCATGTCACATAAAAAATATGTTCACCGTCATTGGAACATTGTTAGCAAATCACATGTAACGTTCTAACAAATTGTGAAATTGCTGATTATAGGGGATCTCGGGCAGACCGAACACACGAACTCGACGCTGCAACACATCTCCCAATCAAGTTACGACATGTTGCTGCTCCCCGGCGACTTGTCGTACGCCGATTTCTGGCAGCCGCGGTGGGACTCGTTCGGCCGGATGGTGGAGCCACTTGCAAGCCAGAGGCCGTGGATGGTAACCCAAGGGAACCACGAGGTGGAGAGGATCCCGGTCGTCCACTCCAGTTCGTTCACAGCCTACAACGCACGGTGGCGGATGCCGTTCGAGGAGAGCGGGTCCACGTCCAACCTCTACTACTCCTTCGATGTGGCGGGGGCCCACGTGGTCATGCTGGGCTCGTACACGGACTTTGGCCCATCTTCGGCCCAGTACAAGTGGCTGCAGTCGGATATGGCCAAGGTGGACCGGAGTAAGACTCCGTGGATCCTGGCTCTGATCCACGCCCCTTGGTACAACACCAACACGGCCCATCAAGGAGAATCCGAATCTGTGGACATGAAGCGAGACATGGAAAGCCTGCTCTATAATGCTCGCGTGGATGTAGTTTTTGCCGGCCACGTCCACGCCTACGAGCGCTTTGTAAGTCTTGTCTTTCCTAACTCCCTTGTGAAAAATAACATCAGTAACCTACTAAGCTTTTTTTGACATTTGACATGCTTGGGCCTGTAGGCTCGGGTTTACAGAGATAAGGCGGATGATTGTGGTCCGGTGCATATCACCATTGGGGATGGTGGCAACCGTGAAGGTCTTGCTACAAAGTAAGAAAACTAATTAACTTGTTTTCTCTCTCTCCCTCTCTCGAACACGTAGTAATTATTCATATGTGTTGTTTTGAAAGGTTTGAAGTTTGATTATGGTTTTGGTGTGACTATGGTTTTGCAGATTTAGGAACACAGGAGGAGAGAAGATTTCAGTATTTAGAGAGGCGAGCTTCGGGCATGGGGAATTAGAGGTGGTGAATGCCACACACGCGCAGTGGACATGGCATAGAAATGATGATGGTGAAAGCGTTTGCAGTGATGCAGTTTGGCTTACAAGCCTTTCCTCTCTTACTAGTTGCAAAGCCTAGTCTCGTTGGTTGATTTTATTTTCTGTTATCGTTAAGTTGAAGTCAAATATCTCATATTATATTTACTTATTTAGAGAATTGTAATTGAGATAAATTCATAGTCATACAAATCAAGATTCTGTAGACTCCATGGAATGTGAAGTTAGGTGACTTTGGGTGGAAATATTTGGATTTGCCATTTGGAATTGAAAATCATAAATACAAAATCATTTGTAAGGATACTAACTAGATATGTTAATTGCATTTTCATCAAATATATGAGGTGAATTTCAAAGGCTCAAACCCATGCTCATGCCTCGAAGTGAGACAACCACAATCTGCTTGTGCTCATGCTCAAAACCTATGAACTTTAGGCACGTAAACTGTAAAGGTGTGATTATACGTGCACTTCACTTGTCAAACTTATTCACTCCATACTCATATTCTATTTCTTTTTTTATTGTCTCATGGTAATTATGTACAATGAGAATTTTGTACAATGAAGATATATACATGAAAATTCTATAAAGAAAATTTTTGTACAATGGAATTGTACAGTATGAATTATGTACAATGAAAATTACCGGCAGAAAAAGTTTGTGCAATGGAATTCTGTACAAAATATGAACCTGTTTTCTATATATATATATATATATATATATATATATATATATATATATATATATACAGATCAATTAACTCAGATTTTATGTTCTCTTGTAGATAATAAATAATAATAATAATAAAGAATAATTTTTATATTAAAATATTCATAAATTGAGTTAAAATGAAGAATATATAATTCGTTAAAATTTGAAGGAATTGATCTGATGTGGACTAATTTGTATTATTCCAAAATTACCATTCCACTTTCCTATATATTATATTTTTCTCCATTTTCCTTCTCATACAATAATTAAAATAAATTTTGGTTGCAAACAAAATTCGCCCTCTTATCATATGATCTTAACTCCATGTGATCCATCAAAATAGGATACGGTTTGGATTCGGACAGAAATAACTTGTTAAAGTCTGTATGACATTTCAAATGTTAATATGACATGACATATTATCAAGATTGCGGGCTAAGATCATGTGACTAATGAGGTCCCTTAGACATGTGACTAAGTGAATCTCAGCCCTTTCACCTCATTAAAATCCAATGGTCCTGATTAATCCAATTTAATGAAGGACAATATAGTAATTTAATTTTTAACTTTTATTTACCAATTAAAATAAATAAAAATCCAGCCGTCGATCCGTTTCCTTCTCTGGCGGCCTGCGTATGTTTTCCAGAGAGTTTCGACCCTTCCGGCCGGCCGATCCTTCTCTCCGGTGGCGTGGAAATAATTCTTCCGAATTCTCTTCTTCCCCGTTGCCTTCTTCTTCTTCTGAGATTTTCAGATGTTGTTGTTGCAGAACCACCATTACTCCTCAATTCTTCCATTCACCTCGCTGTAGACACTGCCATCAGAGAGCTTCTTCTTCTTTTACCTGCTGCTGTCTCGGAAAATCCACCACGGCGGCCCTCTTCTTTTATTCCATGGCCTTCTGGCCATTCTTTCTTTCCTTGGCCTTCAGGCCATTCTTCCCAGAATTATTATTTCATTCCCCAGAAGCTAAGAGAGAGAGTTTTCCGGCGACCGGAGGAAATTTCCTGGCGACAGTGTTGGATTTTGTGATGTTTGCTGACGTATTTTGTAATGTTTGTATAGATTCGGTTTGTATTGTTTGTAATTTTTAGTGACATTTTGTACGGTTAGTATGCTTTGTACTGTTTGTCGGTTTATTTTGTAATGTTTGTACGCTTTGTTATTTTGTAATGTTTGCCGGTTTTTTTTTAATGTTTGTAAACTTTGTTATTTTTGTGCACCATGTTTATCATTTTTGTCAACCATGTTTGTAATGTTTTTTATGTCTAAAAAACAACGTGGTTGACTTTTGGTTGAAACTCCTCTATATAGGGATGGAGCCTCCAAAGTCAACCCGGGTGTTTTTTCTAGTTCGTATGGATTGTCGGTCTAGTTTGTCATTTTTGTCCACCATGTTCGTAATGTTTGTATGACTAAAAAATAGCCGGGTTGACTTTGAGACGGAGCCCTCTATATAGGGATGAAGCCTCCAAAGTCAACCCGGGTGTTTTTCCAGTTTGTATGAATTTTTGGTCTAGTTTGTCATTTTTGTCCACCATGTTTGTATGTCTAAAAAACACCCGGGTTGACTTTGGGAAGGAGCCCCTCTATATAGGGATGGAGCCTCCAAAGTCAACCCGGTTGTTTTTTCTTTTTGTATGGTTTGTATTGTTTGTCGGTCTAGTTTGTATTGTTTGTAGAGTTCATACGTTTGTAATGTTTGTAAATCTTGTCGCTCTAGTTTGTACTGTTCGTATGTTTGTATGGTTTGTATTGATTGTAAATCTGGTTTGGATACTTCGTAATTTTCCATAATACCCAAACTACCCCTGTCACTAATTAAATAGCCCTTCCCACTTTTTAACCATTGGATTGAAGTGTCCAGATCTAATGGCTATGAGGGGTAGGGAGGGCAACAAAACCCGAACCCATGGGTAACCCACCCGACCCAACCCGGTCAACGCGGATAAAATCCGTGTTGACGGGTTTTGGGCCGGGTTTGGGTTTAAACCCGTTCACTATTCACCGGGTTGGGTTGGATTTGGGTTTAGGTAAACCCGGCCTGTGGGTACCCGCCCACTCATATAATTAATTTTTTCGGTATATTTAATATTCTTAACAACTAATCTTATTTATATTTGTGGAGACATGTCTAATTTTTTCTTTTTAATTGTGTAGAATTAAGTTGATGTTATGGAGTGGAGAGTAAAGAAACTTAATTGAAAAGAAAAATTTTTCAATTAAACATGTTATTTATGGATAATTTGTGATTTGCTTCAATTTTCTTAAGTTTTCTAGATTGGTGTTGAACAATTTGTATAGTTAATTTGTGATTTGCTTGAATTTTCTAATTTGGTGTTTTATATATGGATAATTTGTATTGAGAGATTGATATTTGACTTTAATTTTGATAAGAACTTGTAATTGTAAATTTTTTACGAAAAAACCCGTGGGTACCCATGAACCCGCGGATACCCAACGGGTTGGGTTGAGTTTGAGTTTTTCAAACCCAGTGGGTTTTACCCCGGTTTTTTTCAAAGATAAACCCATGGGTTTGGGTTTGGCAAAACCCGACCCAACCCGACCCATTGCCATCCCTAATGAGGGGCTTAGTCAAGTGACTAAGGACCCCCCCTTAGTCATGGGATCCGCTCTCACGAAAACATGCAATCTGTCAAAAACAAAAAGACTTCACGAAAACAATTGAAGTTAAAACAATGCATGTTTTTCTTTTGAACAATTATCTCTATTTAATTCAGTGACTAAATTACACATTTAGTCACTCAAATTATACAAATCTTTCACATTTGCCACCCGAATTACTTTTCTTTCTTACGTCACTAACTTTACGAATCGTTGTACCGTTAGTCACTGGCCGTCCAATTCCATTAAAATCATCCTACGTGGCAGTCAACTAAACCCTTTGACCATTAGTTTGATGATGTGTCAATTAAAAAATAATTTTAAAATTAAAAAATATTTCACCTTCCTTCGACTTCTTCCTCCGAGCAACACTTATCCTTGAATCCAATAGAACTCTTTATGAATTCATATCCACTGTGGAACAGCGGCGGCCGTAGCAGTGCCGGAATGCTTCGCCAGAAAAGTCCATCCGCTTTGCTGGACGAGGGAGGAGACTGTCAAGCTGATCAAGGCCAACCGCGAGAAGTAGTTCGCCATCAACCGCGGGAACCTCCGGGCTGCCGACTAGGACGTCGTCGTCGCCGCGCTGGCCGACTCCCCGGCTCCTTCCGACCCTCACAAATCCGTCGTCCCAGTGATCGAGAAGATGCTGAAGCGGTACTGCGCCGATAAGCAGCGGTGTGTTAATTTCCTCCGAGCAACACTTATCCGCTGCGGAACGGCGCGCGGCGGCGGTACTGCTGGCACTACAAAAATAAAGAGGTTTGGGGACCAATATAGGGGACGGCCTGGTTATGTTGTCACAGAAAATAGTTTTGTAAGTTATATTAGGGACGAGCACATTATATTGTCCCCATAAAATAAGGGATGTAATTTTATTAATTTCGTTAGTTAGATTAGTTGTCCCCAAAAAAACGTCCAGCAGAAATATTTAATTTGGGGTTAATTTTTCCAACGGCGGATTAAGTGAGATTTTTTTTTGTCCGCAAAATTCTATCACAATGCGCTAGCCGCTAGCAACGCATCAATATTTGTTTCTCCATATATGGGACTTTAATTATTATGAATGGATTTTAATTAACCGTAACCTTTTCCTTTTCAATCTTGGAGATAAGGGAATCCTTTTCTTTTTCCATTTGGGTTTTCTTTTTCAACTTGGAACATGTAAGGTATCAGGTTTTCCTTTTTATCTATGAATTAAGAGTTTTATTGGTTGGTTTATGATTTTCCTAATCATATTTAGATTGTTATTGTTACATTATAAATAGGTGAGTTTTGTTGTGCTGAACATCAAATTCTGCTACCTGCTTTCGTACAAAAGTATTGATACTAGCAAAGGAGGAAGCTGAAGAATTGGAAGAGCTAGCACAATACCATCAGCATATTTATAACTTCCGGTAAACTAATTTCTTGTAATTAGAGTTTTCATAGCATCATCACTGCTTGTCGTTTCTCTAAAGTTTCAATTAATCATCCCCTCCCCCAATTATGTTGGGCGAAGTTATCATTGGTTATACTAAATGCTTGCTTTACTTAAGGCTGTACTTAGCATATATAAATCTTTACTCAGGGATGGAAAATATATATGTTACGACAAACAAGCTTTAGTTAGGGTAAATATTGCTTTACTTAATCATAGCTAAAAAATCATTCCCTTCCCCAAATTTTTACCATTGATAGAAAAGTTTAGCCTCTTCCTATGCCTGTACGCACCAAAAGTGCATAGATTCAAATAATCATATGCTTGAATTGCACAACCCATTAATTATTTTATTTTTAGTGTTTCTTTCATCATGTCATCTATTTATTTTTGGTGTCATGATTCGTTTTTTATAGTTATTTATTTGTTTGTGTCATAATTGATAATTTATATTTTATAATAGGAGATGATTCCAAATAAGGATTGGATGAGCATACGGAACCGGAGAGAACCTGGATTCTTCCAAGGCGTTAATGCGTTTATTGATTTCGCATTTTCTCGTTCCGCCAACAAAGAAGCCATTCGTTGTCCTTGTACAAAGTGTCGAAACGCTGCATATAAAGGTCGATCAGATGTTCAATTCCATCTGCTAAAACATGGGATGTTGGAGAGTTATACAACTTGGAACTTCCATGGAGAAGGTGCCAGTAATACTCAGGAGTCGACAAGTAGCCAAGAACTGAATGAAGACCATATGCTCGAAGATACTCTTGATGATATGGATGGATTGTTACATGACGTGTATGGCAGGAGAGATGAAGAAGAAGACTTGGCAATGGACACAGAAGAGGCCGAAGACGAACCTAATCAAGATGCTACTACCTTCTATCGCTTGCTCCAAGAGGCTAAGGAAAAATTGTACCCGAACTGTGAGTACACTAAACTATCGACAATTGTGAAACTGCTTCATCTTAAAAGTATTCACAAGTGGACTAACAAGTCATTCGACGACTTACTTGACATTTTGAGGGTCTTAATTCCTGATGGCAAGGTTAATTTGCCCGAGTCGTTCAGTAGTGCTCGTAAGTATACTCATATTTAAACATGACATTTAACGTCAATACCTAAACATTTATACTTAATCCAACAAATAACATCAATATTTAACTTTTATACTAATAAAATAAATAATAAAATAATTTTTATCAATTAAATTCACTAAAATAAAGTCATTTTACTTAGAGATTCGTATATCGATCATGCCGGTCATACTGGTGGTGTCACGCCGGTTTTATGACCGGTATCGGTTGAACCCGGTACAACCGGTAGCACGCCGGCCGGCGTGACAATCATGCATCAGCACCACTTCAGTGCCTAAGTACACTTCTTTGGTAGTTAATAAGAAGTGATCATCATCAATTTGAGGAACGTACTCTTTTTTGTAATCTTGTTTGTCATTTTTCTTGTTGATGTTTGTATCTAGCTAACTAGTTGGCTAGCTGCTGTTCTAATTTGGCATTAGAGCTTATCGTTGTTGCTATAGAATGCAACGCAATGCATGCTCGCTTTGTACACTGGTAGTGATAAGATGCAAAAATTAGATTCTGTGCTGGTAGTTGTTACTAATAAGAAGCTGATTGTTGTTCCTACCTGGTGTGGCGGGCCTTTTAGCAAAAAATATGGCGCCCACTTTTACCCAAAATTTCAAACTTCAGCCGGCAAACCCCTCCTATTTCTTCTCCCGGTAAAAGCAGGCGCAACTTCCCTCCTACCTCCTATTTTTGCCGGCCCTAAAATTGGATTTGGCGGCAAAATCTGATCTCCCGGCCTGATTTCCTTCCTTAAGATAAACCCAAATCCTTTTAATATATTCCACCCCCTAGCTGTAGTTTCCGCAACTCTGTTCCCAACTCTAGTTTTTGGCATCTCTGCGTTGCTCCGTGACTGGGTTCTTTCGTCGACCTCTGTTGTGCTCGGTAAGCTAATCTTTTCCTCCTCCTGGTTGGTTTCCGTTCATGATTGCTGATCCTTTACATTATAAAAAGACCCTTTCAAAGCTGTATCCCTGCTTCTCTTTACTTATATCCGTCCCCTGTTCCATAATTCTTAGGGTAAAGGACATTGTATGCATTTATCCGTCCCCTGTTCTGTCTTCTTATGCCCATCCCTTGTTAATTTTTTGTCGCAGCATCTGATTTCCCATAGGCTCGTATGCAATATATTCGTATACAATCTTTTTGTGTTCTCATTCTAACAGTGATGCTAAAACTTCTATTGCAGGAATGGCTCGTGCAATGAATAAAAGAGCTAAATTAAGATCACGTCCCGCCCTCATTAGTACGGACACAGAAATCGAAAATATGTCGCGTGTTCTCGAAACGGAAGCACCTTCGTCAAACGGGGAAGGTAATGAATTTCTTGTTTACCTTCATTCAAGAATAGCATGAAGTTGTTTAGTTGGTATTAGGATCGGTAGCTTTATTTGTTTGTCTACTTGTTACAACTTTTTCGTTGCTTGCTGCTGTTTATTATTTGTTTGCATTAGCTAAATCTGTGGAATGGTCATGTCATTGGAACTTTGTGATTTGGCTGGTTCTTTACTATTAGCATATATGGTCAAGGCCTTTGTTTAGCTTTTGTTCTTGAACTTTCTGATTTTCTGCACAATAAATTCTGTGTTACCTAGATATAAAAAATATACAACTGTGTTCGAGTTCTATTATGAGTTCATGTAATAGTTTACTTTTGGTTCAACCTACTTAATTTAAAGGTAGCGGATCGACTCCCCCACTTCGTCCTGAACTCACGGAAGAAGGTGCTGGACATGAAACTGGTCAAGGTATTGTCGAGTAATTCTATTGGTGTTATAGAATGTGCAAATTTGTAACTTTTCAAATTATTTTTTCCAGGAGGCACTTCCAAGGGTCATGTAGGCAGTAGAGGCATATATAAAGGAATCGACTTGGATAAGAAAACAAAATCCAAGAAGGAGAAATTGCCCATATATTTAAATTACTAACATTCTCGTTCAAATTCGTTCTACAGGCTAGACGCGCAGAAAAGAAACGAAAGAATGGTTATTCTTTCAAACTATGAATGTTGGTTTTTCTAGTGTTGGATGAGATGACATTGTAGTAGTTTAGTTTTATTGCACTTTTATGGAGATGATTTTATGACATTTTGCTATATTGTCGCCTCCTAAGATATTGGTGAAGGGACACATGATCGTCCCCATAAATTACAAATGTGACAATCTCTCGTCCCCAAAGATAAAGGCTGAAGACAATTGGTCGTCCCTAAAAGTTATGTACGTTACAAATTGACGCCCATGAAGACACTTGTTAAGGGATGATTGGCCGTCCCTACCAGTTAATAAGTGACAATTAGGCGTCCCAAAAAATATAGTTTAAGGAACAATTGATCGTCCCCACAAGTGATACAGGTAACAATTAGTCGTCCCCAAAGACATATGCTAAGGGACAATAGGTCATTCATACGAGTTACATAGGGGGCAATTAGTTGTTCCCAAAAGGCGTATAAGTGACAACTCCTCGTCCCCCAATACACAAGTGTAGGGACAATTGTTTGTCCCTAAAAGTCGTAGGTGACAACTTGTCGTCTCTAAAGATATAGTATAGGAAACCACTCGTAGTCCTTGAAGAAAGCTTTTGGGGACAAATTTTGGAGTCCAATTTGACACCTATAGGGACGACACTTCGATCTTATAAAAAGAAAAGGGGACAACAAATTATCCCCATATTGGTCCAATGCAATTATGAAATCAATTATGTGGGACAACAATTTGTCCCTAGAAATGATGTTAAGGGGACAACTTATTGTCGCTAAAGTTATAGCTATGGGGACGACTTGTTGTCGCTAAAGTTATAACTATGGGGACGACATATTGTCCTTCATGGACAAGAAACGAGACGGTGACTTGCGCATATCGGGGACGACTGTCGTCCCTAGTAATGGGGACGACCTACATTTTTGTCGTCCCCAAAAAAATAGAGGACAAGAGTATAGGGAACCACTCTTTGGGGACCACTTAGTCGTCCCCAAAAATTATAGGGACGATTTTTCCTATTTCCGGGGACGACTTTTGTCGTCCCCAAACCTCCTCTTTTTTGTAGTGTGGAATGGAAATGAAGAGACCGGACCCATGAATGCAAGGCATTCCTGTACTGCGTCGTATTGCATCTCTTGTGGCTCTACTGCATGGGTCCAATCCACCTACAATCCTTTTGACTTTAATGATTCCACTTGCAATTACATTCTGATCGGCAGCAAAACCTTTAATTGAGCTACTTTGACTCCAAATCAAATTATTTATACTCACCTCACACTCACAGTTTCGACTCCTCAAGTCCGGCAGGTGAGGAAATCACCGGGCAACGAGCAAAGCCCACGAGAAGGGAATGTGTCCACAGACAAGTCGGAGATGTTGACAGCGACAGCAGCAGTAGCAAGAATTGGGGGAAGGAATTGGTAGCAGATTGAAGTTTGGCCTACACAGAAGTCCGGTATCTTCATCTCCAGTAGCACCACGCCGCCGCTCCAGACTATTTTTCTTCCTTAGATCTGGATATGAACATACAGAAGCTCAATCAGGAGTTCGATTGGATTCAAGGATAAGTGTTTTTTTAGCAAAAAGGATAAGTGTTTCTGGGAGGAAGAAGTGGACGAAAGATAAAAATATTTTTTAATTTTAAAATTAATATATATTTTTATATTATTTTTAAATTGCCACGTCATCAAACTAAAGGTCAAAAGGTTTAGTTGATTGCCACGTAGGATGATTTTAACGGAATTGGATGGCCAGTGACTAACGGTGAAACGATTCGTAAAGTTAGTGGCGAATAAGAAAGAAAAATAATTCAGGTGACAAACGTGAAAGATTTTTATAATTTGAGTGACCAAACGTGTAATTTAGCCTTAATTCATTAGTACAAAGCTCAGTGACTCTTCCGGTAAAAATATCGAAGTTAACCAAAAAAATGGTCCATGATACGTACAATGACACCATATATATAGTCAGTCTCCTCAACCCAAAAATTACAGAAAACGAGCCTTGGGGAAATGGATGTGTTTTACAATGTTAGATCGGATCCTTTCGAGGGTGGAGCAGTCCGTCCAAATTAAATACCCTTCTCTCGGAAACATAAACTAATTGCCCAAACAAGTTTTGAATGCAAAACCGGCCAGTTTCAAGCAGCGTTTACACGTGTTTGTCGTCTTTATATAATGGACTAGTGTCCCCGCCAAACCACAACTCACCACTTCATACTTCTCGATCCACATTGCTTTCATTGAGGAAAACTTTCTCTCCAAAGATCGATATGGGTTTAGTCAGCCAACGGCGGCAGCTGCTGCTCACGGTGTCCATTTTGGCAGTGTGCCTCGCCGGGTTCTCCTTCCCTTCGGCCGTCTCCTACAGGAGGCCGCCTAGCCGCCCCGACGTTAGTGTCAGCCGCCGGTTGGACGATGACGGCTCTACTCCGCAACAGGTAAAACTATACATACATTGTTCTCAATTGCCGCGTGATCGTGATCAGTCAGTAATCTTAACTCCTCACTTTCGCGACAGGTGCATATATCAATGGTGGGGGCAGATAAAATGAGGATATCATGGATAACGGACGACCAAACTCCGGCCACCGTCGCTTACGGTACATCTCCCGGTGACTATGCCAAGTCCGCTACCGGAACCACCTCTTCCTACCAATTTGACGTCTACAAGTCCGGCCAAATTCACGAAGTCGTCATTGGTCCGTTGCATCCCGATACCGTTTATTATTACCGCTGCGGTGGAAACTCCGCCCGCAAGTTCAGCTTCAAGACCGCCCCCTCTGCCTTCCCCATCAAATTCGCCATCGTCGGTACGTATATCTAAGCATATAGGATATTCGTACATGTGCAAACTTATATGAGTTGCCTTTTGTTTGAGATAAAATATTAATAAATAATATAAAATCTATAAATAAATTTCTAAAACTTGAATTATTGGAACTGATTGTTATCTTTGTTAGGCGATCTTGGACAGACAGAGCACACGAACTCGACCCTGCAACACATCTCCGAAGCAAACTACGACATGCTGCTACTTCCCGGCGACCTATCATACGCCGACTCGTGGCAGCCACGGTGGGACTCGTTCGGGCAAATGATGGAGCCGTTGGCTAGCCAGCGCCCGTGGATGGTGACTCAAGGGAATCACGAGGTCGAAATATCGACTCCGCCTTTTACGGCCTACAACGCGCGCTGGCGGATGCCGTTCGAAGACAGCGGCTCCACTTCCAACCTTTACTACTCCTTCAGCGTGGCCGGGGTCCACGTGGTTATGTTGGGCTCGTACACAGATTTCGACCCATCTTCGGCCCAATACAAATGGCTCCAGTCGGATCTGGCCCGAGTCGACAGGACCAAGACGCCGTGGCTCGTCGTTCTTATCCATGCTCCTTGGTACAACACCAACAAGGCTCATCAGGGAGAGACTGAATCCGTGGACATGAAGAAGTACATGGAGAGCTTGCTCTACAATGCGCGAGCCGATGTCGTTTTCACCGGCCATGTTCATGCTTATGAGCGCTTTGTAAGTAATGCTATACGACGTCGTATTATGAGTTGTTGTTGTTATTATATCATTTGAACTTTTGAGAAATGGTTAATTTTAATCTCAATTGTTTGCTCTTCTAGACACGCGTTTATGAAGATCAAGCGGATGATTGTGGCCCGATCCATATCACTGTTGGGGATGGTGGCAACCGTGAAGGCCTTGCAACAAAGTAACAACACATGATTAACTGACTAATTGCCAATTTACTTCACAATTTCATGCTTGGGAGCTTTGGTGATGGTGATGGTGATGGTGATGAGTGGTATAATGGTTGGTTGTTGCGTGCAGGTACATCGATCCGCAACTCGAGATTTCGATATTCAGGGAGGCAAGCTTCGGGCACGGGGAACTCGAGGTTGTGAACGCTACACATGCGCTTTGGACGTGGCATAGAAACGACGATGGTGAGGACGTGGTGAGCGATTCACTCTGGATTAAGAGCATTTCCTCCGTTGACAACTGCAAAGTCTAACGACATAGCAATGATGATGGCGGAGAACGTGTGGTGAACGATTCACTTGAAATGATGATAATTTTCTCGTCTAATGAATTAGTTATATGCGTCTAGTTGTGATTAAACCTTTGAGGTACAAGGTTCTGAATAAAGTAAGTGTAGCATGGAAATGGAAATTCAAAGTGAGATATCCCATAACAAGAATATGAGTGTGGATTGCGGAACATGGAACTGTACTTGGTTTTGTACATAATAATCAAGCAAATTAATGTTGGTATTGGACCACATTGCCCCAAAATCAATTGTTGGCATCCTTTTGTGATTGTGTCGCAGACTGATTCAAGTGTATGCTTTACTTTCACTATGAGAAGTCGCAGACTGATTCATTGAAACGAGGAGAAGTGACTACTGTTTGTTACTACGTAGCCATAAAAAGGGCTCAATCTTGGACCACATTCCCAAAATAGAAGTGGAGACAAAAGAAAACGATGCGTGTTGCGCTCTTGTGGGGAAACCCCTTATCCGGCCCAAACCAAGTTTTGAAATAACCATATCACACTGACCCAAGAAGAAGGTCATCTGAGTTGGACTTCAAATTATATGGGCCCGGCCCTAACTGTTTCTAACAATCAAAGAAAGAAGAAACGCAGAATCAGAAACGGCAACATTCGGTTGTTTCACTCCACATATCCAATTGTGTGCAACAAAACTGGGGAAAGTTTGGGGATGTTGCAAATGCAATCACTGCTCCTCCCTCTCTTTTACAACTCCTCTCATCTTTCCATCTTCCCCTTTTTCTTTCCACTTTTTGTTTTTCATTACCGGGAGAAATTCGTTAACGATGACTAGCTTTGATTCTTATCTACTCCAATCAAGTCCACGAACGCAATAATGATGTCGATGGCCACCCACCGTGAGTGGAACGCAAAAATAATAGTCGTTTAGTCTCGAACTCGGAACTTGCTTATTCCTTTTCTAAATCATTTTGACGATAAATTAAACAATTAAAAAAAATATAAGCACGATACTTACGCTAATATTGCGAGTAAATGATGCCGTAAAGATAATAAGGTCACGTGGTAAGGAGGAAGATTCAGCGCACTTGCTGCTAAGCTTAAAAGCCCATCATCTATCTTCTTCAATCTTTTGCCCCCTCCCTCCCCCATAATAATGTAAAAAAATTCTCATCATTAGCCATGCAGCAGAGTGGAATTATGGGGTATCATTAAATATGACCTCAGAAAGTTGAAATAAAAACAAAAGTAGGGATGAGTACAAATCACTTACCTTTTACCATTTTCTTTTATTTACTTGTGGTCATCATGGTACCTAAGAAAACTTGTAAGTCTTTTTTAGGTGAAAAATTATAATGTTTTTCAATCATCTTGTGAGTGATACTCCGTGATAGGTTCACCAAATTATTATTGAACTGTAGGAACGGACAAATTATTATTTAAGAATATGTGTTTGATATAGGCTTGTTAATCAGTTTGATTCGATAATAATCGTAACCATTTATTAGATTATCGATTAATCACAAAAGATTTTTTTTTAACTTCATCTCTTATATTGGTCGATTAATCGTAACTGTATAGTCGTATCGGTTATTTTGTTGCAACTTAGAACGGAGGAATGATTATTTAAAAAATATATTTTATATACGGAATTATTAATGTTGATTTTTATTAATTACTATGGAAGCATCAAAATAAGTATGCTTCTCCGGAATCTTAGAAATTAGAGGTCATTTTGTTAATTAGGAAGAGGGATTTTACTATGTTTTATAGCATTGATATTTTGGCTTATTAAAAACAATTTTAAGGTACTAGTTGAATTTGAGTATATATTCAGTTTGTACCTATATATTTTTTGTAAAACAAAATATTGTATAAATAGAATGCCAAATACACTTGTATAGCCAAAACTTTGACGATTTTGCCAAATATAGCCACTTTTGGGGAAATACCAATAATAGCCACTTCCGTCCAATTCTTTGACGGTGTTAACCAAATAGCTGACTGGACTAACGACATTGCTGAGGTGGTGGTGACATTTTTAAACAACATTGCCACATAGATTAATGAAAAACTTAATAAAAAAATAAAAAGAAAATTGTTCAAACCCCACATCCCCCTAAACCCAACTCCGTCTCTGTTTCAACCCCACATCCCCCAAATCATCATCCTCTTCCTTCCCCTTCAAATTGAAACCCGTCAGACCACCTTCACCTTCGCATCATATTCTCCAACCAATTAACTCCCCCGAATTGATCTTCCCCTGTTACGCTGCTCGCCATCGTCTCCCACTACCGGCCACCATCGATCTGCCCCTATGCCATCGCACCCAGATCTTCATCGCTGTTACAGTATCATCATCGTCTTTGTCTCGGGCCCATCAATCTGTCTTCGTCTGCATCTTCGAGGGAGGAGAAAAGAAGAAGAAGAAGAAGAAGGGATGGATCTGACCGTCATCTTCCGTCGCACGATCTCTCCCTCCAGAACCGCCAATTTGAGCTAGAAGAGAACAATCAATTCTGGGTTTTTGAACGATAGGGTTAGGGGGGAAATTGATTCTGGGTTTTTGAACAATCGATTCTGGGTTCGAGAATGATAGGGTTATGGGGAAATCCCTGCTTTTGGATAGCGGGTGTTGGATTCTTGCTTTTCTTTCCGCTGGGTTTTTGCAGGGAGATGACGACGAGAGGAGTTGCGACATGGGATTGTTTCTGGCATCGGAGTGCTGCTCGCCACCGGCGTCGAGTTCGCCTTCTCTGTCTCTGGTGAGAACAAAACAGAGACAGAGATTTCCGTCGGATGCTATGAGCCAGAGGGAGATCGTAGGGTTAGTATGTTGTCGCAACAGTGTCGGCGGGGTCGGTGGTGGGTTGGATTTGGAACGCTGTCGGAGTGGGAGGAGAGGATATGGGTTTGGGGTTGGGGTCGGTGGTGGAAGGAGAGGGAGAGGAAAGAGTTCTTCGACAGCGGGTGGTGGGAGAGGAGAGAGGATGAAAAAAAATTGTCATTTTTTATTTATTTTTAAATTAAAAAATGACATGGCAAGTATTGTTGAGTTGTCAATGATGTGTCCAGTGAGTTGGCAGCCAGGTAAGCGTTTGGTTAATTTGACTAACGGTGTTATTGACGCCGTCAAACTATGTAACGGAAATGGCTGTATTTGTCATCGAACTTTCAAAATTCTGGCTATTTCTGGTATTTCTCCAAAAGTGGCTATATTTGTCACAAACGTAAAAGTTTTGGCTATACAAGTGAATTTGGCCTAAACAGAATTTATACTTTTATTTTATGGTACAATTAAGTATTAATTGAACTTGTACTATAACATAAAGGTATAAATTTTTTATATTCATGAAATGCATGTATTCATGAAATACAAAATCCCATTAAAAAGTATATAGAAGTTTGTAGATGTGATAAATTCATGAAGAAAGCCGATCCTATTCGAACCGAGCTCAAATTTCCCTTAAACACAAACAAACCATTTCCAAAATTCATCGAAGCAACACGAGTGGATAATATAAATGAAAAAGCACCTCACCAAAAAAATTATATCTAAATTAATCCTCTAACATATTCGACAAATGATGATGTTATTGGGATCACCGAATCTCATCCTGTAAAATATATAGATTACTGTGCCCTTTTTAGTGTGTTTCAAGAAAAAAATTGCCCTACTAAACCATTTATCACCAAATATTATATCCAAATAGTCTCTACCTATTGATAATTTCTTATCACTGTTAATAGGCTAATAGAGTTAGCTCAACACTACAATTTAAGAAAAAACTATACACACAACAAATCTATAATAATTTCTTTTATATGTGACGTGGAAAGTGGGAAAAAAAAAACAAAGAAACAGAAGGATATGAATGAAGTAATTAAAGTGTAGATGGAAGTGGGTCATTTCAAACCATAATTTCTGCCAATAAGATCACCAAGAAACTTCTCCACTTATTCAACCCTCTTGTTTCATTATGCTAGTAAAATCAATGATACAACTACACAATTAGAATCGAAGTTTGTAAAGCAAAGTTCCGAAAAGAGCCTTCACGTGTGTGGAATCATGTAAATGTTTGTCACAATATCATATCCAATGGGTCAACTCCTCAACCAGCTTCCTTCCTCGCGCGGCACGGCCCAACCAGGCCCGCATTAATTCGACATGCAATCATCTTCCTCGACATCAAAATTCAAAGGGATGAGTATTGGTTTGGTTGCTAGCAATTTTTTGGATTGTGATTGGAAAGTCTCTCGGTTAAATTTTGGATTATGAATTATAATATTCTATCGTCTATAAGTATTTGTTCAAATTTGTGTTAGAGTATTTGTTCAAATTTGTGTTAGAGTGTGAAAAGAAGATGAAGTCTGAATAAATAATATAGTGTTATGTGACAAAAAAAAAAAGGGTAGAACGACTAAAAATAAAAAATAAGCGAGATTACACATAATCAAAGAAGAAAAATTTTATAGACGGAAAAAGCGTGAAGCAAAGTACTTATGAAAGGAAGCTAAATGATGCACAGATACTGAAATAAAAAAACTCGATAACTCCTATAGAATACTGTATAAAACTCTCTAATATATGCTAAAAATCATAAAACTAAAAGACTTCTCTAGTTGAAGACGTGTACTTTTAGAAACTATTTTGTAGCTCAAAACCTACCCTACACTCAAATCAAACACAGATAAATACAAACTCACACAACCTTTTATCTCACCTCACTTGTTATTATCACTTTCACCATTTTGTTTCAGGTTACTAAGGGGTCGTTTGGAAATTGTGATTCTTCAAATTGATGTATTAGGTCAATTAGTGTATTATCATTTGATGTATTGATTCGATGCATGTATTAGGAAAATACTTTGTTTGGAAGAGCAATGATGAAACAAAAAGTAGGATAGACAATCCCTCATTAACAATCTCACCTTTTAGTAGAGATTTATAATCATTCATTTTGAGTGATTGTAGGTGGGCCCAACAAAAAGGTAATGCATGCATTCTAACTCAAAGTGAACCAAAAAAACGACTTAATCTTATCATTACATGTATTTGCTAAATACCTCACTTCAAATCTCAACCTCCAAACGAACCCTAAATAACAATTTAAAAGAAACATAATCACATTTATCTTTCATTTAAAGTTACG